TTTGAAAAGCAAAAGTTCAGCATGCATCTGTTATTTTCCAGTTTGTCCTGATAATAATGTCGCTGTCGAATACAAAATGCTCTCAGTAAAGACAACATATGGGAAAAAATGAACTCTTACCAAACCAGACATCACTGGTACAGCCTGGGGAAAAGGGGGCTCAGGGGGGACCTTCTGGCTCTCTGCAACTCCCTGACAGGAGAGGGGAGCCAGGCGGGAGTTGGGCTCTGCTCCCAGGGAACAAGCGACAGGATGAGAGGAAATGGTCTCAAGTTGCACCAGAAGAGGTTTATATTGGATATTGGGGAAAGTTTCCTCGCCTAAATAGTTGTCAAGCACTGGCACAGCCTGCCCAGGGAAGTGGTGGAGTCACCATCCCTGGGGGTATTTAAAAGACGCGTAGATGTGGCACTTGGAGACGTTTTAGTGGTGGCCTTGGCAGTGCTGGGTTAAAGGTTGGACTCAGTGACCTAAAAGGCCTTTTCTAACCTGAATAATTCTCTGGTTCCATGCTGGTTAACACCAATTTAGCACCTGAAATCTGCTTTCTGTGCTCACGTGCTCCCTGGCGGTGTTTCAGCGAATCTTTCAGGAGAGCCCACTGGCACCCAGTGCCCTGCTGGGAGGTGACAGCCCGGTGTCCTGCTGCTCCCAGGGGTCCCTGCAGACTGGAAATGCCTTTTGCCTCGGAGGGACACCCGATTTCCAGGTAAGGCAGGCGAGCGTTCACCACCTATTGTGGCAGAGTGCAGTAGGTGTCACTAGAGCCCTTTCCAACGTTCGAGGGGAATCTCATTTCAGATGCAGAAGCCGCTCACCGAGGAGCACAACAAAGCGACTGCTCCTGCAGTCACGATTTTGTTTTCCACCTTCCTGTTTGCAGAAGGAAATACCTGCAAAAGAAATCAACGCAGGGAGATTTTAGCTTTTAGCCCAGGATGATTCAGATGCCATAATATTGGTATATTTTTCCCCAGGTTTTCTTTAAGCAACTTAGTTGGTGTTAGAAAATAATTTCAGTTCACTAAAAATTTTCAGTTAATCTTTTGTAGCAAAATGCTGCTTCTCATTTTGTTCTAAAAGCACTTTTTACTGAATTGTCACTGTTTAGTAGTTAATGAAATTCCTGTTTTGCTGCAAAATCTTGATTTCCACTTAGGCAACACATTACCCAGTCATGCCATATATCCTGCACCTTCCTCTACCTAATTACTTGTCCCATGTAGTGCACTGTGGGGGGTGTGTGTGTGTGTGCATGTGCACCTGGTGTCATGAGAATATAAACCACTGACACTTGGAAAACAATTAGAAAATACTGGAAAATGGTGGAGTTGTTATTCTGTTTATATAAAAAAAGCAATTACCATGAAGACATTTGCTTTTTAAAGAAAAACAGGTTGGTTTTGTAGATTTCCCCCTTTCCAAACTACTTCCACAGTTGGTCTTCAAAAAGGGAGTTTATTGACTTCTCTTTGCAGCTTTGGGAAGCTTTGAGCAGACTCAGGGAGGGCTGTGGTGTCTGGCCTTGTTCCTGCACATTGGTTAAAGCCAGTGGAGATGATTTCCATGCCTCACATCTGATCCACAGCTTTCAACAGCTGAGCAAAGTAAAAATAAGCTTTAAATGTTAATATAGGGTAGTAATTGTTTGAACTGTTGTGCAAGAAGGGTGGAAAGCAGGCGAGTTTTGCGATATGATGGAAGCACTGAAGGAGGGCAGATGTGATGCAAGAGCAATACATCCATCCTCAGCTTTGATGGCTGAAATGGGTTGAATCAGGGCTCTTTGGTGTCCCCATGTGTGAAGAAACCTCAAAACCATCATTTTGCTTTCAATGGTGCAGGGTGAGGACAGTGAAGGTCAATAACCAACTGGTACAACTTGGCATCTCTCTGCCATTCTCCACAGATCTGTGTCAGGTGAGGAACTTGGACAGATCCTGAACGTTCAGGGAAGTGTGGGCAGCTCTGGTGGAGACCGCAGCAGGTGTTATCCCTGTTAGACATTTGATTTTTTTGCATCTTGGAGGTAATTAAAATGCTCATCATAGTGATGTGTCAGGTGTGGTAACCTGCCCTGGTGCTTGGGATGTGCAGGAGGCGGCTGTGCCCGGAGTGGGGAGGGATGGTCACTCTGGTCAGAGCTCTGTGAGGATCCTGGCACCAGTAAGAGGTCAGTGGTGACCACTCTGGACATCATTCATTACCCCATCAAGGGCTCTGAGCATCCATCAGCACAAAGGCGTGTGTGCCGAGCTGACAGCTCCGAATTGTTTCCTCACCAATTACCGCGCCGGAGCCTTGATAGCGTAATGAAATGTGCCTCCTACCTATCACTTCATCTTTGTCAAACTGACTGGGTGTTCTTAGTTTGTTATGACTGGGAGAACTTCAGCGGCGTCAGAAAAATAAGCCAGGCTGTCTCTGGTGTGAAAGGCTTAAAGACGGGGTGGATGCTGTTAAATAAAAATGCCTCAGTCCAGATGAAAATGTACATGGAAAAAAAACCCTCACAGACCAGCTGAGCCCTCTCAGCTCTGTCATCTTTTGGGACCCAGTGGGGGATGAGAAAAGTAAGAACTTTTCTTTTGCTAGACGTCTTTATACTTAGTAAAGTATTCAGCCTTTCTTATAATTTATTCATTGTGGTCTAGCATAGTCTAAAATATCAAACCTTCCCCCTCTGTCCTTTTACATACGCATTTTTGATGCCTCTTAATTCATTATTTAAGCAGCCTGCGTTCTGCTTTACAAAATACCCTCCTCCCCAGTGCCTTAATGTTACCAGTTATTTGTGTATCCATGTCAGTGGCAATCCAGCAGGGAAGGGGCAGGGTGGGTGGGATGCTGATCCTCCAGCCCTCGCCTCCTGTGCCCACACCAGCTCTCCTGCTTGGTGAGGAGCAGAGGGCTTGGCAGCAAAAGGAATTGGGCAGCCAGAGCTCGAGTGCTGCAGCTCCAGCAAAGCACTCAAATGTGTGCTGAAGTGATGCTTGAATGTGTGTTGTTTTGAAGCCAGGGAGCTCTTCTGAGAGAGAAAGTGGCTCAGGGGCACTTTAGAGAATGGGACACTGCAGCTCTCAGCACCCAGACGGTTGGGTGGAACCCCTGCTCCTGCTGGGACCTGGAATCCCACTCCTGGTACTCCATGAAAATCCATTTCACCGTCACAGCCCATCCTGCAGCAGCAGCTGAGTTAGCGTGGGTGAGATGCAGGGGATCCCTTTGGTGGAAGTGCACCTGGAGCACAAAGTATTCCCCGTCTCGTCATTAATTACAAAGTTGGGTGACTGTCAACAGGAGCATTTGCGGCTGAGAGACGTGTCTGCACATTGCGAAGCCTGAGCGATGCTTTGATTGGAATTCTTGCAGCAATCTGTTTGCTCCCTGGGTATGGTGCTTGGACCTCTGCCAGATGTGCCATTCCACCCCCCCCAGATTCCATGTGCAGCGTCTGCATCCGGGAACGGGGAGTTCGGAAAGCATCATGGTCGTAGCCCTGCTTTTCCCTAACAAAAGAGAACGGGATAGTTGGTTCAATGCAGAATATTAAACCCCTTAATTTAACAACAACAACAAAAGGTTAAGTAAATTGAGAGGAACACAACTGTTCCAAACCTCCTGCTTATGCCCTTGGTTGCAGAACTGCCCTGGATATTATCAATTGAGTGTTTTTAACATTCCAACCAAAGAAAAAGTTGGGACTATTTGACCTGTTAATGCGTTCAAATAACCTGTTAATGCTTCAAAGAAAACATTTCTGAATGTTGTGTAGTAAATCAGTCTTTGCTTACTTAATAGCCACAATGTTTTCCTTTTGAGTTAGGAACTCATGAGAAAGCCTAGGACTGAAAACCAAAACTGACAGCTTTCTGGTCATTTAATGTAAGTTGCATTCTGTTGATCATATTTGAGAGCATTTAATATTAGCTTTGTGCAACAGCATCAGTTGAGGATGTTGTTGTCACTTTGGGGACAACAGGAGGAAGCACAATCCCTGTTTGCCTGGCAGGAGCTTGTTCTCAGCAGAAGGGACTTGGCTGAGGACATCTCAGATCCCACTGACTCAGCACGTGGCTAAATATTTTTACCTTATGTTTTAAAAAAACAAACAATTTTGCTTATTTCCAGGGCTTTTGGGGTTTGCCCTCTCCTGACCAAATAATGTTTACTTGTTCTCATATTTACTTTCTCCCAGCTCTCCAATATCATATTTGCACAGTCGATACTCCTCTGCTGGCAGATTATTTTTAATAGAGCGGTTTATTAAAGCATCTTTCATGACAATATTTGCATTGCAATGCACATCAGAGCACTGCTGTGTGAGAAAGGTTACTCCTCAATGCAGCAGTACAGTGACCTGCTTATCAAATTTTATGCTTGGAACATTTAGATGAGGAAGGATAAAAAGGAATGTGACTGTGGATCCTGTGTAGATCCTCGTGCAAATCCCACCATGGGTGAAGTCTTGCTGGACATTGACTTGCTGTGAGGCAAGTACAGCATGTTCCATGCAGCTTTTTTTGTCCCCCAGCTTATCTTTCCATCACTTTTTAAATTCTGGTCATCTACATTCTTCTATTTTAAAAATTTTGTTTCTTTTTTCTCTTTATGAGGAAGACATCTCAAGTTTCTCTCCCTGGAGGCAAGTGTCAATTTACATCCAGTGTATTCAGTTACTCTGGGAGTTAATCAGGCCCAGACTGCTTCTTTTTGGTGGTTTTTTTTTTTTTTTTTTTTTTTTTGTTATGCTTTGAATTTTTGCCATCAATTTGAGATATAAGACTCAGATGGGGTCTTGTAGCACTGCCCTTACTGAAATCCACAACTCGCCCCTCCTGGGATTTCAGTGGCACTGAGATTGTGTCAGAGGTGGGGTCTGATGTCACTGAACATGGAGACACTTCTCCTTCCAGCCACTCTCCCAGCCAGCACTCCACAGAGAAAAGTTCTGGCAGGGCTGTTGTAGGCAGCTCCAGTTAATTTTGTTCTTTTTCACTATTAATTATTATTGGAAACAATTTCCAGTGAATTTAAATCCTCATGTCTATGCAGTAGGGCTGCGTCGTGCTCTGGGTGTGTTTATTTTTCTGTGTGTCTGCTCATGCAGATTTCCTGAGCCCCTGGAGTTTTCTTAGCTTCTCTCTGGTATTTGACATTTATTCTTTGTGTGCTTTTCCAGCTCATTAATTTATTAAACATCAACGGTGATGCAGTTCTTTGATCCTCTTAAAAATTAACCACCTACGCCTGTATCTTAACCAGTTCTTGAGCCATGGAAATATAACCTCTCTCCTGGACACTTCAGCTCATCAACAAACCCTTGCCAGCGCCTTTTCCTGAGAAATTTTCAAATATCATATGATTTATATGTGAGTTTCCCTTATTATTTTTCAGATTTGCATGTGGAAAGGTGCAGTTTTCTCTACAGAAATACGTTGTTCACCAAGGTGTGTGTAACTTACTGACTTCTCAAAATAATCGACTTCCTCAGCAAGTTAAAAAAAGTCATGACAGGGAAATGGATTTGTCTTGAGCATTTCTTAAAGAAGGGGGACACCTGATGTGAATGGGAAGGGATCTCTGTGCTAGAGGCTCAATTGCTCTCTCCTTGCAGAGCTTTTGGGTGAAGCCACCTGGCCCTGAGAATTTGCACTTTCTCCTGTGCTGCTGACTCAGGAGATGCTGCACCTCCCTTCTTTCAGAAACCCCTGGGTGTCCCCCATGCCAAGTCCAGGGTCTGAATATCCTCCTTTACAGGACTGCTTGATTCCTGTCCATGTTCCCAAATGGTTGTGGTTTGGTTTTTTTTTTGGTGTGTGCTCTCTTCCTATAGGAGATAAAATACTTCACTACAATGCCCCACAGCCCCTAAAACCAGATGGTCCAGGCAGAGTTCACTGCTGAACTTTGTTCCCCTGGAGATGGGAGCTTCCCTCCCTGGAAGGAGCCCTTCCAAAAGCCTCCTCCGAGTTGCTAAGAAACAGCTTGTCACTGTGGCATGGGCTGTAATCGGTTGTGTACAGGTAATTAGAAGTCACTCCTGCTTTATTATTAACCGTTTGTTGATTTTTCTTTTTCTTTTAAATAATTTTCCTCTCCGTCCCCGGAGCGTTCAACGCTCCTGGTACATCTGCATCAATTATGCATCGTCGGTGTGATTTTTCTTCCTGTGGAAACTTGGCTTCCAGAGGCTCTTTGTGGTGCTCCAGCCATGACCTAAACCCTCCTTTGCTGAATAATTCCTACCGAGACAACACAGTTTCCCCGCTGTGTTTTCCACGCTGCCGTGTTTCAGCAAGGCAAATAAATCAGGCTGTCTCCTGCCACCGGGCAGCCTTGTTTGCTCAATTTTGCTGTTCCATTTCTTGCTTTATTGAATAAGCATGTATTTATGTACCTTGTGTCCTCTTCCTGCCTGCCCATTTTTTATTGAACTTCTCCATCGGCCGCGCAGTTGGGTTTTCCTGACAGGGTTTTGGATCTTAAAATGCTATTTCTTCAGACCAGCTGTCACTTCTGTCCTAACCTTGTCCCATGAGGTCCCCTGTGCATCGCTTACGTGTCTAGCTCTGCCTGCCTGATCTAAGTGCCCCTTCACCTTCTCCTCAGCTCTTTTAGTTTTAATACCTTGTACATGAAATTTTGATTTTCCCTCTTCTCTTTAATTAAGAGAATTTTTGACACTATCCAAAAACCAGCACCCACACAATGAGCTTCCCTCACAGCCCTTGTGCTTGAGCTCCTCTTTGTGCTGGTACCTTCCACAGGCAGTGCTGAGCCCGCATCTCCCCAGAGACCAGCAGGGAGATGCTGCTGCACCAGCCCCAGTCTTAAATCTCATCCCCAGTAATAGAAACAGTCTCCAGCCACAGACTGAGGGGGTTATTTTCACACGCCTCAGCCTGCAATGGAGCCGTAGCTGCAGCTTCCAGGGCAGCTCACGGTGGTTCTGAGGGAATCTCGTGCTCAAACACCTGGCAGCAGCTGGGGAGAGATGTGAGTGCATCCCCACACTGGGGATCTGCTCCCTCCTCATGGGATGTTATCCCCCACCTAACGGGTTCAGAATCCAGGACTGAAGAGGAAGGTTTTTGTGCTGAATCACCAGTTTGGGAATGTGCCACTTGGCAGGATTTCCCCCTATCCCAGATCCCATTTCTCTCAGGAGAGCACTATGGAGCTTTGGGGATGTGGGGTGAAAGAAAACCTTTCCCCTAATGGCTCATATTTCTGCTTAGTGACCACCTGCCAAATTTGATGCCAGGAGATGCTGAGATCTGTAGGGCTGAAAGTTGGTGTCTAATGAAGGGACTTCAGGAAACGAATGAGGTTTATATATCCCGCGCAGCCGAACGCGGGGATGTTATTTATAGCTGCTCACTTGCACCATAAGCACCTGTAGACTTTATTCTTCAGCCTCTCAGTGGAATCACAAATGACAGAAAGAGCTGAAGATGTAATGACCCTTGAGGCAGGAGAAATTATTTACCAAACCGTAGATAAGGCAACAGATCTCTCCTGCACTGTGTTTAGGGCATCCAATCTATTGCAGATGTTACCATAGTCATGCTGTTTAATTTAAAATTGCCCTGCCTTCCTTGTGTCTCAAATTCTTTTCTTGGGAAACTAAATCCTTTCATAACCTAAATGCAGCGGAGGAGATGAAAGCTGCTGGGCTGGGGATGTATATGGCCATTCCAAGGGAGCTCTATATAATTGTTTTTTAAAAGGACATGCTTGCTCTATTTTTTTTCTTTTTTTGGTCTGGTTCATCCTGGTTTTGTTGTTTGTGATATGTTTTCTGTCATATGCTCCTTGTCTAGCAATGAAAAGTTACCAGGATTAAAAGCCTTTGTTAATTTATAACAGGCATGGTAAGAGCTCTTCTCATTTTACTGACTCTGCAACCTCTGTAGCAGATATAATACAGGGATTATAAAGGAGTGGTTACCATTGTTTTTCTGGAATAATTTTCTTTGTGCATGGGTCAAAAGGATAAGGATTAACAATACTATTAGGCATTGGAGACAGTAGCCCCGTCTGTTTGCCTCTAGCTTTTAAAATCTGTCTCTTAACAGGGCAGGTGACTCTGAAGTAGAAGACTTGCCACTGTCTTGAACTGAACATAGTCCCTATCCCCAAAAAACTCTTTCACTTCAGACAATCTCTCCCCATCAAACACCCAATAGGTCTTTGCTGAAATTGGGGAAGGATCCCAGCTTCATCTGAGTGTGAGGAGACTGATTTATACTTGCAAGACTTTAAATGATTGGTCCCAAATTTTTGTATGTGCTTTCAGCTGCAATGCCGAGCAGGGAGCTGTGTAAATCTCTCCAGTGTGAACTTTACTTATCACTTATCAATCGCATGTGAGACCTAATTTTAGTTTTCCCTCTTCTGAGGCAAGGTTTTGGAAACACTCAATGTCAAACACATGCAGCTGGAGGTGGTCCTGGGGATTATTTTCACTTTTTGCAGGTCTCTGGTGAGACCCACAGTGTAAGAGAAGCCATTTACCCACAGGTGCTGGATTGTTCTTCCTGGTGCTGCAATCAAAGCTGTCAAGGAAAATGATCTATGTGCCATAGCTTGATTATACTTGCCCTGAGATACTTCTACGCTAAAGGATTTTCAGGTTTTAATCAGTCTGCATTAACTGTGGTGCTCTTGTAGTTGATCAAGGAAAGAAAGCAACTGTTGATTGTACTAAAAGCATTAAGTGACCTCTGCTAATTAAAAGATAATGTCAGTGCAACTGAGTGGAGTGCCTGGGTCCTTAGCCTTTTAGGGAGACATTAAATGAAAATCAAAGAGTTTGTGGGAAATAAATGTGGTAAAGGTAAGAGACTTGTTTGTGGAAATAGCAGGTCATGTTGGAGTAAAAGATATTTAATCCATTAATGATAGCTAATATGCCAGAGAACCAGCAATTTGTTGAAAAAGAATAAGCTTCCTCCCCAGTTGTGGAATGTCTTCACTTACTCTGCCTTGACTGGAGCGTTTTGGTTGGGAAGCCTATGATGTAGTGGATCCACTGTGTCCCTCTCTTGTCCATAAATAAACTAAATGTGTTTCCTCACAAATGCATGTCACCTTTTAAATGACCCAGACGTTCAGTGTTAAGCTCTGTGTTCAGTAATCATGTAGTCAGTGTCTACAAATGCAGTCTTACTTGCCTTTTTTCATTAATCTTGGTGTCTGGGAGAGAAAACAAGACAGGTGGAATAACTATGTACGAGCACATCCCTTGCTCCTTGGAGAATACAGGTGGTAAACATTATCTTCTGCTTTCTATATTTATATAGATGCAGAATGAAAGCCCTTTGGACAGAGAAGCAATGGCACAAATTCTGTGAGAAATCACCTGAAGATGCTACATACCCATGTCCTCTGAGGAGCCCTGGTGGACACAGTGGTGTTGGAGGAGACACTGAAGCAGTCGGTAAAAGTGTGGTATAATTTTTCAGGTTTGCATCTCACCCTTTGACTCCTTCCTCTGTGAGAAGAAACAGAAGGAAGGACAGTTAAAATATTTTTTTTTTCCCACATGGAAGAAGTTAAATCCCATGTGGGAATATAGAGGGGAACATAATGGTTCAAAATGTGGTGTTGAGAATGAGGTTGACTCCATGCATAAAGCAGAGGCTTCATGGGGAGGAGAGGGGAGGTGTCTGCTTCTCTTCAGATTAAAAGAAATGTTCTGGAAGCCGAAGGTAATCTCTTCCCAGGCAGTTTGTAACTGAGCTTCACAGCTGCCAAATTGCATTTGATCACATTCAGCATCTCTAGCTGAGGAGGCTGCAGGGTGAGGAGCAGCACGTCACGGGGTGTGAAGGCGTCTGAGCCAGCCCTGGCTGTGGTCTCTGTCAGAGCTCCATCCAAGGCATCTTCCCAGGCAGAATATGCCTGATTTGCCACCATCCCAAAAGCTATAGGACAAGGTGGGCTGAGCCTCTGTGGTGCTGCTGATCTTTTGGCCAGGAAACCAGTGCTGGGATGAGCTTGTGAGCTACAGGCCCAGCTGCTACCACTGATGGTGCTGCAGCATCTGTGCCCTTCATCCCATCCCTGTGGGTAGGAGATCCCATCCCTGTGGATAGGATCCCTTTGCTGACCCCTCCTGCCCCTGTGCCAAGTGTGCAGGGCCATCAGGCTGCAGGGGCACACCCTGTGCATCACTGCATGACAGTCATAGAATCAGAGAATGAACTGTAGTATCACTGAATGGTTTGGGTTGTTCCATCTTGTTCCAACCCACCCTGCCATGGGCAGGGTCACCTTCCACTAGACCAGGTTGCTCAGAGCCCCCTCCAGCCTGGCCTTGAACACTTCCAGGGATGGGGCAGCCACAGCTCTTCTGGGCAACAAGAGTCAATATTCACCTCGGGAAGGGCAGCTCTGTCATTGTCTCTGACAAACACAGCCTGGGCTGCTCCGCACCGACCACCCCAGGCTGCCTGGAGCAGGAGGTGGGAGCAGCTCCCCATTTGGCTGTGTCGGGAAGTGGGAGGCACGGATCTGGTATTGCAGGGAGAGCAGCAGCACCACTGCCTGGTCAGCCCCCTGCCTGCAAGCTGGGAGAGCATCATTTCGGGCCCAGGGGTTTCCTGTCAGGCAAAAGAGGGGGAAATTTTCAAACAGAAAATAGTGATATTTTTCAGTGCCAGCCACCCGCCTTACAAAAAATATTGCACACCTGAAAGGAAATCCAAATGGGACATTTTGACATAAATATCCCTTTTGTAGAAGCCTTCCTCCCACCCCTCCTGCTATTTGGCAACAGAAAGTTACATCTTCTTATGTGAAACCTGAAGAATTTTCACATTGGAAACTTTCAACTTTGAAAAAATGCCCCTTCTTTCTCCCTTAGCACTGAATTTCGTGGAATCCACCCCTTTGTTGTACTGAGGTCTCAGCAGTGCCTGATGCCTCATTTCTCGCTGTTTTACAATAAACTCTTACTGTCAGTGTTTTTTAAAGAGCAATGTGTACACCTGAAGGTATTTTAAAGAAACTATTTAAAAGGTTATAAAAAATAAAATAAATACTTGGCATCAAGATTCTTGGAGTGCATGATGAATATTTTAATAGTTAAAAATCCAGCCAGAGAGAAATGAAAGGATTTAGTGCTCTAAATAAAACTCTTTGTGGGTTTTAATGTGCAAAAATGGACAACAATGGCTTTAAAACCTCTCCACAAATACTTACATCTATGCCCTGGTACACTCTGTGTATCTTATATCCGTAGTCAGTAATGGTCTGTTATGTCTTTTTAGATGCTGAGGGAAGGCATTACACCATTTTTCTCCTCTAGGACATTGAATAACAACCTTTAGGTTTTGAGCAGAGAGTTTGGACCTGTGGGAAGACAGTCATGGACGTGAAGCCTCTTCATTCTCAGAGTTTTTGTATCCTGTAATGGAAAGGAAAACCAGAGGGAGGGGAGTGGGAGATCTGGGAGGTGATCATTCCCACACAGAGCAGCTCAGGCAGCATAAATTGTGGAAAGCTCTGTGCTCACATAACTTCTAATTGTCTTGTGGCTGCAGTAAGTTTCAGACCAACAATGGGATAATGTTTGGTTGTATCACTGCTTAACGTCTCCATTTCTTTCTCTCACACACACGTCCCAACACAGCTGGAAGAAAAGAAGCTTTTTGTAATATCAGCTATGACAGAGGTGAAGAATTGTTTGAGTTCTTATTTGTGTAACTGGTCAACTCACTAGCCAAGAAAACCTTTTTTTTTTTTTTAATTAACCAAATGTATTAGTGTCCATGAAACGTGTATTTCTGTAATTATTTCTGTAAAATAATATCTTTTGCCTGAGCAAGAGCCCTCCAGTCCTGCTGTAAGGTTGTCTTTCTGCAAATCTTCCTGCTAATCGAATCTTCTGTATTTTCTGTCTTGCTTTTGTAGTAACTCCTGTTGCTAAATGTAGTGAATGCAATTGCTAAAGTGATGGTGCCAGTATAAATTATTAAAATTACATGGAGTAATAAAAATGTGTTGTGTATAAAAAGATGCAGAACAAGGCAGTAGGACTCAAGCTTTTAAGTTACTTCAGAAAACTCTCTATATCTATAATATGGACAAACTATACATTAAGCACAGTTGGGTTTTGTCTTTATGTGTTTTCTAAAGCAAAATGTTTGGATGCCATTTTTTTTAGGTTTCCATCTTTCCTTGACGAAAATGAGATTGTGAGAGGTCTTCTCACAGGTTTTTGATAATTTTTGGAAGCATCTTGGGTTGGATGATTAAAAACATAGTGTCTAAAATCATAAGTCACTTCTGAAAATCTATGTGGTTTATTTATAACAAGGAGCACTGAAAAGACTAAACAAAGATCACTTTGTATCAAATATATAAATTCATTAATTTAGTGCATAATGTCTGTTTTCTTTTTATTGAAACAGAGAAGTTCTTGAGAACCAACAAATTAAATAGAGCCTTTGTCACCTACTGGTCCTTTTACTACATATTACTACAAATAATCCATTTGAGTTTTTCCTTTCTTGTAGCAGGCACTCACAGAGTGGATATGGGAAGTGGTATGGAAAGTTGGAAAGAGATGCTAAACAGCACAGATGTAAGGTTGGTGTTGCACAAAAAAAGAGTTCAGTGCATAATCTCAGCCCTTGATGGAGAAGATACGGTGAAATGTTGACTTTAATTGCCATGGGACATAGATTAGCAGATGGTCCCATGGATAGACTGCTATCCATGTCTATAAATAGCGTAAGTTAATTTATGCAAGATCTCTCTTTTCTTTTATAGCTATCTCCCAATGTGTTGATATCTTTCTGGCAAGGAAGTATCCAGCACTGGAGCTGGAATATAGGTCCTGTTTAAAGCCCTGGTATCATGTGATTGTGTTACAGCAAAAAAAGCATCTGATCAAATAGCTCCTGATTGAAAAGACAGGCTGTGACAGCCCGATCTGAATGCACCTTCCTTTCAAAAATAACTTTCGGGTATCTGCAAGTCAGCTGGAATAATGGCTGTGAGAAGTGGGGAAGGCAGCGCGGCTCCGAGCGGGGTCAGGGAGCTTCGTGTGGTTCCTATCTCAGGCTGCTGAGTGGTGTTTTGCTTTGCACATCTCATCTGCCTTCAGCTTCCACCTCCCCACAGCTGGATGAATTTCTTTGCTCGAGGTCTCATTGCCACAAGCTATTTTTCAAAGCTGCTTTTTCTGGCCGGCCCTGCACAGCTTTGCCTGCTTTGTCTCCTTCCTCTCCCGCTGCCAGCACGCTCAGGTTTTGGGGTTGGTCCCCGTGAAGCTGCAGTGCTGGGGGGTGTTTGCCTGGTTTAGGGCAACCACATTAACCCTGTTGGGGTCCTGCTGCTCCTGCCCAGCAGCTCAGTGCTCAGAGGGACCAGCACCTGCTCTCTGCCACCTCTCAGCACAGGATCTGGACCTCGAGTGGCACCGTGGGAACCAGCCACGACTGGAAGAGGTGTTCCAAGGATGAGCTGCTGAAGCTGGTGGAAAACCTTGTGTCTCCAAGTACCCTCAAAGTACACAGGCCAAGCAGCCAAAGCACTCACAGGTAAGTGGCAGAAAGTTTTTGGGCTGTGTTCAGTCTGGATCCCCTGTATCAGGTTTTGCCTCCCTGACACGTAGACCCCTGGGTGCTACAGCTGCTCCTTATCACTGGAGTCCATTTCCCTCTTTACTGGGCTTTCCCAGATATCCCAGGCCATATCTCTCTGTCCATGGTTTCTGTAACGAAAACCTCACTTTTGGGTTCATGTTTTTGGCTTTTCTGTCGTTCAAGAAACCTCACTTTTACAGGCTTGGCTACAACTGTCACCAAGCAATCGGGAAACAGATTCCCATGGATGCCTATGCTTTTGAAGTTTTCTGTGCCATTTGTGCCTTATCCAAAGAACTCTCAGAAAAACCCACTTTTTAAGATATTCATCCATCATTGTGCAAAATTTGGCATTATAAACCAGTTCTCCCTTGCTATTACACAGAATTAGGGAAGTACTGGTAAATAAGAAGTAAGCAAAGAACTTGTCTATGTAAGTACAGGGAGTATTTTAAGACAGAGCACTTTTCTCAACAGGGGTACAGTATCTCCCAGCCCCACAGAAGGGCTGAGCCATCCCTCTGCTCACCACCTGGGCAGGTAAATGAAAACACAACAGAGGACCTGCAGTGACTGACTTTATGTCATTTTGAGCCTGAAGTCGATCAAAACCAGCCACCAGAAACATGCATTGAAAGATCAAGGTCCACATCCTTCTCCATGATAAATCTAAACCCCCATGGTTCAGTAGGGATATTCTGGATTTACCTACATGTAATTTAGAGCAGATTTTGGACCCTGCTCATGAGCATTATGCTTTTCCCTGCAGGAAGGAAGATTGATTCTGACCTTACTTAAACTAAGCAGCTTTAATCGTTCAGTGTGGAAACACCAAGACTGGGCTGGGGGCTGGGGACACAGACATGGGAATCCTATAATCTTTGGTTAAGTTGTAATGAAATTGTCCAGGATGAGAAGGAAACAGATGGATTCTGATTAATTTCTCACAAGTGTAGACCTCAGCATCCGATGCAACATATGTGGTGAGCAAATGTCACTCATGCCTCCAAAGTGCAGAAAAAATCACTATTGTCAGGATATATTCATTGGCATATTGGCTGCTGAACTCCCGAGGGAG